ACTCCACAAAAAAATTTTGGTAAGATTTTTGATACAAAAACATTATATGATCACAATAGGAAAACATAAATTAAAAAGAAAATAACTTATCACCCACTTAGAGACAACCATATTTAATCTTAATACATGAACAGAGAACCATAGAGAACCTCAAATTTGTATGACATTTTATACTCATAATTTAATTTTTAAAATGGTTTAAACGAGGTCTGACAATTAAGTTCACAAACTTGCCATGGTGCGCTTACACTGGCAGCACCATTCACACAACTCAGTAAGGTTTATATCAGTGACTCGTGGTTGTACAGCTGTCTTTGTGTTGCCATGTGGCAATGTCTTGCTGAGTGGCACTCATTATTGTGTTCTGTGTGCTGACGTGAAAATGTTGGAGCTTGAATTAGAGCAATGAACAAACATTAAATTCCTTATCAAAGCTGCCAACAGTGGTAGTGCAATCAGGGACATGTTAGTTCAAGTTGATGGGGACAATGCCATGAAGAAAACAGCAGTGTACAAATGGATTAAATGTTTTTGTGAGGGGAGAGAAAGCATCACCAATGAAGAAAATAAGGGTGGCCAGTAAGGGGCAGAACTGACAACACATTAACAAAATTCCAAGGGGGAGGGTGGGAAGGTTGGGGAAAAAATTCTTCTAAATGTTGGTTAAAACCAACAGCAGACTATGAGAAACAAGGCAGACTAAGTAAACATCAAAAGAAAAACAGTAAGATTTTAACTGAAAACCTTGGCATGAGAAAGGTGTGGCTCCTGCATCATGACAATGACCAGCTCATACAGCACTGTCTCCGAGGGAGTTTTCCACCAGTAAGCAAATAACTATATTGGAATACTCTTCCTATTCATCTGACCTCGCACCCAGTGACTTTTTTTTATACCCAAAGATAAAGGAAATATTAAAAGGAAGACATTTTGAACACATTCAGGATATCAAGAGTCATACAATAGCCATTCCAGAAAAAGAATACTAAAATTGCTTTGAAGGCAGGGCATGGTGCCCACGCCTATAATCCCAGCACTCTGGGAGGCCAAGGTAGGTGGACGGCTTGAGATCAGGAGTTCAAGACCAGCCTGAGCAAGAGACCCCTGTCTCTACTAAAAATAGAAAAACTAGCCAGGCATCACGGAAGGCCCCTGTAGTTCCACCTACTCAGGAGGCTGAGGCAAGGACTGCTTGAGCCCAGAAGTTTGAGGTTGCTGTGAGGTATGACACCACCGCATCTACCCAGGACAACAGAGTAAGACTCTGTCTCAAAAATAGAATAAAATAAATTTTAAAAAAAATTGCTTTGAAGGGTAGACTAGGTGCTGATGTTGATATATAGCTTCCCAAGGGGTGCTTTCAAGGTGACTGTAGTGATATTCAACAATGAAGTATGCAGCACTTTTTCTAGGATAAGTTTGAGAACTTTAACTATCAGACCTCATATGCCCTATACCATGTGTCTCTCTATGTTTGGTAATATTCCAAAAACATCTTTCCATGTCAAGAGATTTATTTCTGCAATGGTTTTTTAGTAGCTGCATAATATTTCATTACATAGATGTGTCATAATTTCTTTCTTTTCAAAATCCCAGTTTTAATATCCAATTCCCCTCTGAAGGACACCAACTATTTCTAATTTTTTTTAAAGATTATTTAAGCTAACAAAGGGGAGGGGATATCAAAATGTCGTTTCAAAGTTTAAATTTCAATAATGAAGAGAATTATATTTGGAAATCACTGAATAGCACACCTGACAGTCATCAGAGTAAGCAAAAGTAGTCTGAGAGAAAGGCTTTCAAGCTGGGGGTGGTGGTGGGAAGAGAAACGAAGTGAACACATTCACAAAGCTTTCCAAGTTGTCCATCACAAATGACCGTGGCTTACGGCAGACCTGGTTTCTGGATTGATGACATGAATCTAGCCATTCATTTTACTTAAGTGAAAAACAGAAAAAACATGTCTGTCATAAGATCAATAAGCCCAGAGTGAAAAACAGGTTTTCTCAAACAAATTCAGGATGATAAAGAATTTCATTTTAAAAAACCAGAAAGTCTTTCTTTTATAGACTTTCAAAGCACTGGAAAAAAGTACCATGCAGTTCCTGTTTTTGAATTCACAGAAAATGTAGATAGAAAGTCTTTAGAATAATTAATTTAAAAAGAAAGAAAGAAAGTTTTTAGAATAAGGAGACAGGACAGGAAAATTTTTTCTAAGTACACAACAAAAATCTGAACACATAAGAGTAACTAAGGATGGCCACAGCCAAATGGGCTGAAATAAGTGAAAAAAAACTAAAGAAAAGAAAGTCTATATTTTTTTTTGACAATTAAACAACTAATATTTCTTAACAAAGAATTATTATTAGCCAGTGAAAAATAAAACTACTCCCAAAGAGATAAATGTGCAGAAAGCATAAAAAAGCAATTCACAATCCAAACAAATGGTCAATAAATACAAGAAAATTGCTCAACCTCAGAGAAGTTAAAAAGATTGATAACATCCCATCATGGTGAGGTTTCTCATGCAAAGAAGACCATGTAAATGCACACACAGTAATTCATAGTGGGCAACTGCAACAAGTATTGAAATATATTAATAAAATACACATATCCTGTAAGTCAATAATCTTCTGGGAATTTACTCTAAGAAGATATATAAATAATTATACACAGTAGTATTGTTTATAAGATAATAAAAACACATCAACCATCTGTGAATGAGAAATCTGTGAAACAAATTATGGTATAAATGGTTATACAGCAGAATACTATGTAGCCATTAAACAATGGTGACACTAATTGGGGGACTGAGGCAAGAGAATCGCTTGAACCCAACAGTTTGAGGTTGCTGTGAGCTATGATGCTACAGCACTCTACCAAGAGTGACAAGGTGAGACTCTATCTCAAAGAAAAAAAAAATGTTGACAGTAGACCTCTATGTGTTAGTGTTGAAAACTATTCTTGAGACTGCAGCATTTTCAGAGGTTAGAAAACAGATGGTGTGATCTCATTAAATTGGTTACATATTATTACACAGAAATGTCCAAAAGGATGGACACAAAAATGTTCTGATAATTTTTACATTCTTCATGGTAATATTTTATTTTGAGGAAAAAGTGTCATTTTTATAAAAATAATAACAAGTTTTTTTATTGTTGAGGAGGAAGGCCATCTGACATTATGACAGATTCAATTGTTCTATTCCAAGGAGATGGATTTTATCAATATGAGTTTGGCTATCAAGGCCAGCTGGCTGCTTTATGTTTGCTTTATTGTTTTATTGTTACTGTGATATCAGTGATGTAACAAAAAAATCTGTCCGGTCTTAGTCTTAGGTTCTCAGTAGGAGCTTCAAAAAAACTTCAGGAATTTAATGAGTGCCAGTCTTTGTTATGTGAACGACATAATCCAGAAAGCCTGACCTCCTGGAGTGGGGTAGGGCTAGGGACTGAGTTGCACGGCCAATCAGTACACCAGAGAGTGAGGTGCTCTGACACCTCCCCAGAGAGGTAGTGGAAGCTCTGCGTTTCCTCCCAGGCCTCACATTATGTACGTCTTTTAAAATAAAACTGCAATTGACAGGCGGTGCCTGTGGCTCAAAAGCGTAGGGGGCCAGTCCCATACGCCAGAGGTGGCGGGTTCAAACCCAGTCCTGGCCAAAAGTTGCAAAAAAAATAATAACCTGCTATTGTAAGGCTGGGCATAGTGGCTCATGCCTGTAATCCTAGCACTCTTGGAGGACTAGATGGGTGGACTGCCTGAGCTCAGGAGTTCAAGACTAGCCTGACCCAGAGTGAGACCCCGTCTCTAAAAAAAATAGCTGGGCATTGTGGCAAGTGCCTGTAGTCCCAGCTACGAGGAAGGCTAAGGCAAGAGGATTGCTTGCGCCCAAGAGTTTGAGGTTGTTGGTGAGTTATGATGCCATAGCACTCAACTGAGACTCTGTCTCAAAAATAATAATAATAAAATTAAATTTAAAAAAAGCCCTGCAATTGTAAGTACAGGATTTTAATGAGTTCTCCTCAGGCGGGGCCATGGGAACTCCTGGACTGGTAGCCAGTTGGTCAGAAATGTGAGTGGCCTAGGGAACCCCCTGAAACTTCTGGATGGAGTTTGAAGTGGGGGCTGTCTTGTGGACTCTGTCCTTCATCTGTGGGATCTGGAATAATTCAAGGTAGACAGTGCCAGAATTGTATTGTGGTATACACAGTGGTATCATACCAGTGGGATGAAATGGAACAGTAATCAACCTTAGTAATAATATAACATTATTTTCTAAATAACTGATAACTTTCAAAAGTAAAGTAAATGTCAAATGGGTAAATGGCCAACAGCTCTGCTGATTGGGTTTTGTGATTTTTCTACCATAAACAATACAACACAAGAAATGTTCATCTCTCTCGGGTACCCAATGTCTCCTTCTCTGTGCCATTCACACAGGTCTCCCAAGCTATACTATGAACCACAGACCTGTATTAAAGCACTTGCTATTGTGTGCTGCATTTGAGTGTGCTCTCATATGCTGCTGTGAATTCACAGCAGGGCCCGACCGCATCTTATTCACCTGTTCATTCTCAGAGCCTATCACAATGCCCAGAACATGGCAGATGCCCACTAAGTCTGATGAATGAAACAGAGTCAACGAAGTCAGTCTGTCCATAATAATCACTCCAGTGAAGGAAGGTACTTGAGTGGGTGCTTTGGTTTGAGACTTTGTAGTCTTTATACACTATTCTGTCCCACCAACCTTGCTATAGTCAACTAAACAGTGTGTTTGGTAGATCAAAAAGATAAGCGACCTCTGCAGGGAAGTAGTAAATTAAAATAAGAATTCTTTTAAACATAAAAGGAGGAAAAGAATATGGTGTCAAATATCCTTTTTCCTTTTCTCTAAGATTTTTGTGGTCTCTTACTTTGACAGAACATTAGAAATCCGGCTTGAAGGATGAACTTTTTGTCCTGGTCAGGACGCTATCCTTTTTACAGCATCAACTCACCTTTTAATCTAGCATCACCCCCAAAGGCACCACAGCCCCAGTTTCCAGTGGCCACTGCAGAAAGATTCTGTGAACAAACTCCAGGGCGGAGAAATCCACAGTAAGCCTGCAGGATAAAGGAATTAGCAACGCATATGAGTAACTAGACACTAACAGTATTTCTGAGTGATGTACTAGGATCAGTATCTATTATCAGCTTATGTTCTCTCTTCTCTCTCTTTTTTTTCATAGGGACTAGAGCCTGGGATAATACAAGGAAGAGAGTACGATATGGCAGATTCTAATATTTATTTGTTTTGAAACCAGACAAATCAAATCCCTTAAAGCAATGTAAGTCTCGGTTTCTTTGTCTGACTCAAACAAACAGAAATGGAAATATCAAGAACTGATGAGTTTCCAATTATAAACTACCAGGAAAGGCAGTTGTTAAAGCACTGTTTTCTCTGAAGGCTTCTGATTACCATTTTTCATCAGGCAAAGGGTCACTGTAATGCTTTCTCAGCACTCTCTCTGAATTACTGGGACTAGATTAATAACTGTGATTAGCTTTTAAATATGTTTCCTGCCACTGAAATGCCTAACAAAGAGCAAACATCTATCTATAAAGGGAATTTCTACGCCTGGTTATGAAATAACCTTTAACATACTTTTCAGCTCTCAGGTTCTCTATTTTTATAGCTGTTTTAAGCTAGAATATGTATGTATGTATGTATGAGACAGTCTCACTCTGTTGTCTCAGGCTAGAGTGCCATGGCCTCAACCTAGCTCAAGCAACCTCAAACTTCCGGGCTCAAGTGATCCTCTTGCTTCAGCTTGGACTATAGGTGCCAGCCACAACACCTGGGTAATTTTTGTATTTTTAGTAGAGACAGGGTCACACTCTTGCTGGGGCTGGTCTTGAACTCCTGAGCTCATGGGCTCCTCCTGTCTTAAAGGCCCAGATTGCTAGGATTACAGGAGTAATCCTCCATGCCCTACCTAAACTAGAATATTTAAAAATCTGCCAATAACCTGAGAAAAATACACTATATCCCAAGAATGCAAGTATTAATTAAACGAGCAGATCATTTTATATATGTGAAGACTTCAGTTTAACATCCCAGAGTTCCTGATTTCCATTTCTTTGTTGCTGGCTTAGTTTGTCACTCTGTCTCCTTTCTGTAGTTTTCTCAAACCATCAGCCTGTATTAGGTCTAATATAATAGCAAAGCAAATCTCCCTGGGGTTCTCTTCAGTACCAAACAAAGCCTAAAATATTGGCTTATACCATGTATATAACAGCAAATAAAATTAAAAGAATGATCTGTGACAAATGCTGCCAAAGAAAAACCAAGGATAAAGAAAGATGCTTCTATGAACCCACACCTAGAAATATAGTAATTTGCTCTCTGAAGCTTCCACAAAGGTATAAAAATTTATTTTACACACTGTCTGGATGTATTAACAAGGCTATTCCTTCCTCACCCTCCTACGCTGTAAATCCTGACAGATATTAATTATAAGTTGGTATTACACCATTATTCAGCACTGTGGTACAGAGCTCACACAAGCACTCACAAATTACCTGCATAATCAGATACATGGAGCTCCCGAAAATCTCTTTCAGGTCAAAAAACCAGAGTGCTCCATTTTTTTGAATAGGCTCTTGAAAAGATTATGCCACTATATGCACAAAAGGAAGAACAAACCCTCTGCCAGAATAAACATAATTTTGTCACTTTGTTTCAATTTCTTCTAACATGCCTAGATGAAGAGGCTTTCTCGGCCTCCTGGCTCAGGTCTTTGTTTCATACCTGTATTATCAGAATGGTTTTCATCTCTTCCTTTACCACTATCTCTAAATAACTGAGTTAACTTTACTTTAGCGGGTAAAAAAATAGTTTAGTGAAGCTAAGGCCTGACAATGGAGAATTTGAACCAATTTACATTAGAAGAAGAATCTAATGTAAAATACCAACCCATTTTCCTGAAAAATTAACCATCCTGAATAATGGCCATATCAAAACCCATGAAATTAAAATTAAACTACACTCAGTGTTTTGATCACATAATATCAAATACAATTTTAAAAAATCAGATAAAAATATGTTCTTAAATTACATAGTAATTAGGTACTACATATAAAGGTACTATGTATAAAGAATGGTTATAGTGATTACCTACAAAATTATTTTATCCTGTTAAAAACGAAGCATTTCTAAGGTCAGAAATAAGATAAATAGTAAGTTCTCCTGAATCTCCTTTAGCGGGTCTGCCCAGATTTCTCCCTTCTGCAGGAAGGAGAAGGATCCTGTACACACTAGAGACTAGGGCAGGGCCTTGAATCAGAGGGCCTTTCCTTTTACATCAGGAATTGTACTCCTTTGGTAAGAAACAAAGATCACCCAAATGCCCAGTGACCCCTGAATGGATTAACAGTGGTATATGTACACCATGGAATACTATGCAGCCATAAAAAGATGGAGACTTTGCATCTTTTATGTTTACTTGGATGGAGCTGCAACATATTCTTCTTAATAAAGTATCTGAAGAATGGAAAAATATATATATATATTGAATATATATATCCAATGTACTCAATCCTACTATGAAATCAATATATAATCACCTACACATTCACACCGAATGGTAAAATGTAACTATAGTCCAGAAAATAGAAGGGAAGAGGAGAGAGGGGAGAGGAGAGGGGGAGGCGGGAAGAGGGAGGGTAGTTGGGGGGACCTCACCTAATGTGCATGATGCAAAGGTACATTTCAAAACTATTAAGAGTATGATTGTGATAGATATGTTGACCAGTTCAATGCAAGCGTTTCACATTGTATATCAAATCAGTACACTGAACCTCATAAATGCATCAATGTACACAGTTACGATTAAATAATAAAAAAAAGAAACAAATATCAGATAGAGACCTCAAAAGAGTTAGTTGCAAGTTTTCTCAAGAGCTCCATATTGGCAATACTTTTCTTTTTCTCCAGCCAGAGCCAGAGGACTTGAGGAGATTGATCAAAGCTGTGAGAGAAAAAGAAAGCTAGCTTGAACTCTAGTCATACCCTGACCTGACACTCAGCAATAGCAGAGGAATTTATTTGTACTGATGAACAACTAGCAGTGGAGGAAAGAGGAAGCATTCATACCTCAGGATACTAAGGAGAAGATACCAATCAACACTCCTATCCCAGAATGAGTTTTGATGTGAAGGGAAAAAGAGGGAAGATTAAGGTAACTTTAGAATCCTGAAGTGTACAAAGAGTACATTAAGAAGAAGAGGAAAAAATACTAATATCTAGAGTTAAAAACTAGGGACTAACCAGGAAGTAGTGAAGAGAGATATAGAAAGGAAGCAAAGAAAACGGGAAAGGGACCAAAGCAAACTGATGTAAAAGTCTGCGGGCTGCAACTTAGGTTTGTGTGAGTGCACTCTATGATGTCTGCACAACAAATATTTTTCAGAACGTGCTCTCATCATTAAGTGGCCTTTGACTTTAAAGGATGCTTTTCATTATCATCTAAATACATTAAACTGTTTGCTGGATTAATAATTTAATAAGATTATGCCTAAAGAATCACTAACTTATATAAGGTCAATTTACCACACTTGTTTAATACATACTTGATACTGATTTCCCAAGGTTTTTAGAGTATTCTGTGATTTCATAAAAATAACCATGATATAAAAAGACCCTTAAGGATCTTTTGGAATGGAATAAAGTAATATTAATCAAGAGGCTTAAAATTATCCTTAGACTCAGTAATAACATTTTTGTAAATTTCTTCTAAAGAAGTACCAACTGTACAAACATATTTATTTCTACCTTACATAAAGAAAAATTTGGGACCACCAACTGTTCAAAAGGTAAGGACAGTAGTTAAATCATAGTACTGTATTTTAGTCCATCCTATTTCATGAAACATTTTATTCAAATGATTATTAAATGTATAAAAAATAATTACAATTTGTGGGTAAATGAAATAGGTATAGGTAACTTTTATGTATATTCATATGAAACTAAATTTCATGTGAAAAAACCTACAAAAATGAAAACTATTTGAAAGGTAGAATTATGGATGACTTTTTTTTATCTTTAAAGTAATTAACATCAGTACATTATTTTGGCCCCTTTCAATTGCAATATAAAGTGAAATAAGTATGCAGACCTAAGTTTCCTTAGGTATAAAATCTAGGATTGGTTTAGGTATCTCATGGTAATTCTGATCTATATATTGAGAAACTTATAGGAAAACTCACTAGAAATGATATGTCACTGATACATTTTGAACTAATATTCCAAAAGAGCAAGGTGATACATATTTTAAGAAAAAATTACAAACGATCACATGTTGAAGTTCTTAGAACTATCAGTTACAAATATTGTTTGGTTTTGTTATCAAGCTTTGATTTAATAACCAACCCATTCCAAATTTAGTGGTGAGTAGTAACAAAAAAAAAAAAAAATCAACAAATAAAGCAAGTTTTTTTAAAAAAGTAAATGATGGTAATTTTCTGTTGGAAGTATCTCTCCACTCTGTTCAAATCCAGAAGGCTCCACGAAATATATTCATTACTTACTCTTACCTAAAGGAGTCTAGCATAGTTAAATAAAACTTTTCACAGGTGATTTCTTTTTTCTCTGGCAGAGCTATCTGCCACTTTTACAAGCTGGAGTCATAAATCTTTCCAACCTCAAAGATAATTCTCCAGAATGTCAACCGAGTGATCTCTCATAGGATTAAACACTGCTTCAATGTCAGTTAGATCAGAGCAGACTGATTCTTTCTTTTAAAAACCAACTAACTCTACCTGTAGGTCATCATGCAGGTCCAGTAGGACAGGTGGAGAGTGGATGAAACAGACTTTTCCCAGAGGTCATAAAGCACTTTGTGGAACTGCTCTTTCAATTATCATCTGGGGAGGAAATGTCCCAAAGTAGCAAATAGTACTGCCAAGCTCAGGGATCCAAACTGAGCTCGGCAGTACTATTTGCTATCTTTCTAACATGGAAAACTGGTCTTAAGCTAGCTATGTTGCTTCATTTAGAAAAATACAGTTTTTCTATTCCTCTGTACTTTCTCCATGGCACAAAAAAAAAAAAAAAAAGTGGAATT